CAGAGCGGACCACACTGAGCTTCACAGTGGCTCTTCAGACGTCTATGGGTGACGTCACAAAGACTTTTTAATTATAGAATCTATGGTATTGACCTGAGGACATCACTTTCCTGTCTACAAGCTCGGTGTGTATAGTTTCTTACCAAAATACTATTGGCAGCTTGGTAGTTTTGACTCCTTAAGTCTTTATGTACATGGGCTTGTACCTTTGACTTTTTATCAAACGAGATTACCAAATATCACTTGTACTCTAACACGGACTCTTTAATACTCGAGCAGCAGAGTTCCAAGCCCATTCAAGCCTTGAAAGTGCTCCAGCTGCCAGTCATCAATATTGCCTGCGCAGAAAATGAACAACAGCCAAAAACTTTGATTACAGGATGTCTCCATGCCCTCTTTCTGGAACCTAGCTGATGTCAGATATGTAATAGAAGGGTGAAATTGGTGTAATTGCAGCATTCACGTCCTGTATCTGAGAAATAAATGTAATAATTCACTGTAGGTTTGAAAAGCTCTCATATGAAACCTGGCCACAGCGTACAGACTTGCTTAATTGAAACAGCTCAGTGGATCAGTGGACCGTGACCTGTATTTTACAACTACACAATAACCTCATCGCAGAGATGACACGGAGGGGTCAAAGAAGCACCTTGCTCATTAAAACCAAAACCATATACACATGAAAAGGCCTGAGGGCTCACACAAAGGAATTGCTCAAACACACACAAACACAAATACATACACACACACACACACACACACACACACACACAAAAAGCCCTCCCAAAAGCAGCATAAGTAGAGCTTATCCCTTCTTGGAGTGCTCTGATCTGATCTGGCACCTCTCATCCCTGTTCACCCTATGGGTCAAACGCACACTCACACACACACAAACACACACTCACCCTTCATCGGGGCTCTGTGTGGTTTCTTTGCCAGTGTGTGGATCAATGACAGGTGGAGAAGGTGCTGGGGGAGCAGGAGGTGTGGGCCTCTGATCTGGGTGTGGTTCTGGCAAGACTCTGTGACCCTACAGGGCTCCAATCCAGGGACACAAGCAGGACATCAAGGCTCTTCAAGGGAACAGAGACAGACAGTAATCAGGCCACTACTACCATACAGCACTATTCACTCTAGATCCAGTTGAAGAGAAACTTAAGTGAAGTTACGAAAACAACTCATTATCCAACACTCCAAAACTGTTGAAAACCCTGTGTTTTCAAATGATACTGGACAACACATAGACACCTAAAAAATAGTATTGCATGTTTTAAGGGTGAATAAAAATAACAAGGGCAACTGTCTGTTATATTGAGTTTCCCATTTACAAATGATTAAGATTGTGCTAGCAGCACGGGGGACATTTTCAGTATTCATAAATAAAAGAACTGGAAACCAGTGAAATGACTGTTTTGAGGTAAATTCATCATCCTCACATTACCAAAACTGATTTCCTACATGCCACACACATCTGACGGTAAAATGACGCATATTCCAGTGAGAAAATAAATATACTTGAATAGGCTACTGTTACTTAAAAGCTTTTAACTCACGTAACATTAGCATAACAAAGTTACGTTAGCATATATGAAATTCCTGATGTTTGCTTGCTGTGCAAGTTAAAGGTCCAGTGTGTAAAATTAGGGAGGATCTATCAGACGTTTTTATCTACGGGGGGAGCGGGTCCTCTTCTATGGAATCCACCATAGTGAACCAACATGTTTCCACCGTAGCATAGATTGGACAAATGTAGAGCCTGTTATAAGGCCTTTCGAGGTTTTCGCTGGTTTTACAGCCACCATAATTTCTCCAACACACTTGGAATGGGAGAATGAGTCGAGGGTGTTGCAATCAGCAACTACACTGCTAGATGCCACTAAATCCTAAATTTTTCAGTTCAGATTCCCCTTATTTATATTAGGAACACCAACTCACATGAAATTCCTGGTGTTTACTATCAAAATACTAGACACTAGATACTATGTCAGATGTGTTACATTAGTGAAGAGAATCATATTAGATGACTGCAGTGTACAGTATACAGGCAAGCCTTCACTCATAGAAAATATGTCACACAGGATTTAATTAGATAATATCAGCTACACAGAATCATTAAAAAAGTGGCCATGAAACACACAACAAACAGCCTAGCCTCTGTCTAGAGCATTGCCAGTACATATATAATGGAGAGAGCTTTCGGGTCTGTAAAGTGAAAGCGTCTTATACCTGCATTCTATGTGTTCTAGTATGTAGTCAGTCCAGTGCAGCGCACAAAACTCAGATCAAACTGTCAAACTAGGCAGTGCTGATCAATATATGAATCAATATTCTGTTACTGTGTTGCCTATTTCTCATCTAAAATCCTTTCAGAAACATATTTCAGTGTACTGTTTAGCTGTAATACGAGATCGTGTGAGGCGCACCGCCATTGTGACAAGGCGCACCGCCATTGTTTCCTGCTATGGACGGGTTGAACCTACGCAGCCAATGAGGAGGACCAGAACGCCAAACTTGTGGCTTCAAAACAGTACTCCACAAATCAATGGGTGACATCACGATAGGTTGTCCACCCGCAGCGTCTGTAGATATAAAATGCTCATTGTAAGGTAACAAAAACAGAACGGTTATTAATTTCAGGTGATTATACAGTAATGAAAACATACCTAAGATAAGCAGGAAAATATGCTTTTTTTGTAATTTGGGTGAACTTTAAGAGCACCACACAGCCTGCTTCGGCAAGGCCTGCGGTGCTGAGAGAAGTTAATACCAGGTCTTTATGTTTGAAATGGATGATGAGATCAGCGGTCAGTGAGTGCGGTTCATTGGTTTGCGACTGTGATTGGCTTGCAGGTATAAGGCTCTCCACTGAGTGACTTATGGCTGTAATTTAGCCTTGATTACATACACCATTACTTTAACTCTAATTAGACTGTCACTCGGAGGAGGGGTGAAGGATGCAGACAAACTCACAGTCAGGGAATAATTCATAGATGCAAGGTTGATGATAAACATGTTGATTTCAAAGAAAATCCTAATGCAATAAAATAGAAAAGTGTCAGAAAATTGATGACGTAGACCAGAAATATAAAGTCCCAGACATCCAAACTATTATCAGAATTGACAGCAACCAATTTACATGTTGACTCAAGTTCAGTTTTAAAATATACACATTTCTAAAAGCTGCTCATGTCACACATTGTGATGCAGGAGCATATTAATCAGCTTACTCTGGCCCGTGTCGGATAATGAATCACTGCCTGGGCTCTGGCCCTGACCCCGAGGTCACGCTTTTATAGACGACTACTTCATCACGGAACAATCTGCTGGGCGACTGCAGACAAAAGACACACAACCTCACCTGATGACCTTGCCTCATGATCCATGGAGGGAGGCTGGAGAATAAAATAAACAGGAAATAATAAGAAAGATATAGATTTATACAAAGACACTTTATTATGTCTGTGTATACATTTGTTTCTACCCCAATTCATAAATTGTCATGTCATTGTGAAAGAAAGGGATACTTGAGTGTGACATTGGTGGTAAGTGTTATTGAGTAATTGGGGCACATAATGATTCTTATTTCAGGGTCAGTTGAGCACTGCATAGAGTTTTTACTGGACTGATACTTTAGACTTAGTGTTGGTTTTGGACATTTATCAGTTCAGCAATATCTTTAATGGTCTCGCCATCCCTCCATTTTCAACCGTGTTTTACATTATGAGCTTCTAAATAAAAGCCATTATTAGTCAAAAAGTATACTTTCAACAATATATATAACCCCCAAAACAGTTTGATGACTTTAAAAGGTTCAACAATGGTAAAGGTAATATTGCTTGCCACAGAGCTATTTTCTGCAGTAATCCAACATCCAATGGAAAAAAACGAATTGACTTTATGTCTAGGAAAAATGTCTTATTTTACTTGATTGGAATTTGCAAACAAATATGTATATACATCATTCAGTTCAGTAAGCCCTCTTAAACTAAACTAAATCAAAATATATGAAAACTCCACCATGAACAGGCCAAATGCCAAGAGCAGTTTCCCTCTGATACTGTAACCTTCTGGAAGGAAGTCACCTGAGAAAGTACTTCAGTGGCTAAGACGGCTAAGAAATCATTTTCCAGGACATTTTCCAGGATTTTTTTGACAATACAGGGCAGCACTAGCTCACAAACGGTGGTCAGCGTTTATAGGACGTTCTGCGTTGGCTTGCTTTCATGGCGCACTTGGCTGTTCTCACCACAGCCTATTTTTCCGGTTTCCAAATACTCTAGCCTTACCCTACTATTTTATGTCAAAATGGCTGCTGTGAAAAAGGTCAATTGACTACAGCTTTCCTCTAATTGTAACATTAATTTGGCCACAGCACAGACTAAAATGCAATTAAAATTTTCATTTTTACTTCCAGGATATTTCGTGTTTCCAAGACTGGAAAACTAGTCTCTAAATGTCCAGGTTTTTCAGGATGTGTGGAAAACAATGCTAAGAGTCCTCAACTGCACTTCTTTTTCTTGACATTTGTGTGATTTTAACTCTCTTGGTTTAAAAAAGGGAATCTGTCCAGTCTGATGGCAACTGGTCAGTGTTAATGAAATGGAAAACACTGTATTGATAGAGGAGCTATTAGTATATTTCTATCAGACTAAATCAGATTATCTTTACCTTTTTATTAATTTTAGATAAAAACTTCAAAGTAATGGCATGCAAATAAATTTGCATAAAAATATATGACATCATAGCTCACATTATATTTACAGGCAAACACTTTCAGCTGGTGATTGATTGTTTTCTCTATAACAAGTAGACAGGACATTCAAATGTCACAAAGTTTCATCCTGTTGTTGAAAATGGATGGCGGATGAGTTTAGTCTCTTATTGCAGGACAATGCAGTGGTTTTATGGCATGGGTCACATCTGCTATGGGATAATGACAGGGGTAAGCCAAATGGAACATGAAGTATGTGCGTATTTGTGTGTGTGTGTGGATGTCTGCGTGTAAGTGCGTGCCTGGGTTCGTGCACGTGTGGTTGGAAGGGGGAACTAATGAGTCTCCTATGAGCTATTATCCGTACCTTAGCTCCGCACTCTGCAATAATAAAAGCCAACATTGCAGAGCTCCCTAACAGGAGACTGCAACACAACACACGCCTCTGTTAATGCAAGTGATAAAGCGTCCACTTATGAAGTGGAAACCCCTTTTTAGATAAAAAAAAACGACTGTGTCATTTCTTTAAGGATTATATCATGTTTAAGTTGTTTTTTGGTAAAGCAGGTGGAAATCCGATAGTGGAATAGCAGTTTCTCACATTATTGATATGATTTAGAAACATTTCTGCATGATGCCTGAATGTGGCTTCACACACTCTGTCCTTTGGGGTCAGGATCAGCAGACTATTGGCAGCTGGACTAGTGTCTGACCACTAAGCCAATTATGTGACCGGCCTTAGGAGTGCAGAGTGTCAGCCAAGTGTGATAAACCCCGTTCCACCAGTGACCCACACTTGTTTACGTACTGGTAGATCCATTCCTGGATCCACTGATCAGAACATTTATATGACTACATTAGTGCCTGTACTATTCGCCATGAAGCAGGTGTACTATTATATGGCACAATGCTGCAGAGGACATAACTCAATATGTGACAGAATCAAAATCAATCAATCATATTAGATGAGGGTGATAATGGCACATATGAGGTGTGGGACGTCTGTGCACTGGATCCATTCCATCCCAGGTTCCCCCTAATAAATAATACTGGAATTATAGAGCCTCGGGCCATGACCCTCCAATCTAAGGTATCAAAGGAGACAGAGAGAGAGAGAGACGAGAGAGAGAGAGAGAGATCCCTGGACTCAATCCCTCGTGAGATGAGCGTGTGGAGAGACGCAGAGTAATCCTGTGGAGTGGAAGGAGAGAGAGATCCGCGGCATCCCGCTCGGATATTAGAGCTTTATTCTCTCCCACGTTGCCAGGGTGGGCGAGTAAGTGGGCGCACGCTGTGGATGTCACGCAAAAAACTAGTTACTCTGATAGACTAAAGCGGACTGGTTGGCTGGTTTTGGGAGGGGGGCTCATTGCGCTCCGGACGCGCAACATGAAGGAGAAGGAGGCCAGCGAGCGCACTGAGAGAGGACTCTCCAAGGTAGCGGTGTGTTCACGGCTTAGAGTATGAATGATGGTGAGCTTGAACTATGGTAGAATGGCACTATCTCACGTGGATTCTGAGTGATGGCCAGCTTTTCACCACCACCACCATCATCACCACCACCCGAGCGCGGACCTGCGGCGGCTCTTCCACCGGCTCACCATCGCGTCCTCTCTGAGCATCCTCTGCTTCTCCCTGGTCTATCTTCTGACCGGATGCTGCGAGTCACAGCTGACAGAAAACTCTGAGATCAAGCCACCCACGCGGGAGTTCTTCGCGTCAGGGTCAGGATGGCCGTCCGAGAGGAACAGAACCAGCAAGGAGGTTACCACCGCGGCTGGCGAAGGCGCGTTCAGCGGTCATCCCGGGCTGGAGGTGAACAGCTCGGGGAAAGAATGGACAGCCACACGGAGGTTGCCCCAGGCTCTGATCATAGGGGTTAAAAAGGGGGGCACCAGGGCTCTTCTGGAGTTTCTGCGGCTCCACCCGGACATCCGCGCCCTGGGGTCGGAACCACACTTCTTTGACCGGCATTACGCACGGGGACTGGACTGGTACAGGTACGCGCAAATTACGCAAGGAATCCAGCAATGTCTCTGAATTTACCACCGAGTGTATTTCTCTTTATTCGTTCTTTTCTTTTATAAACTTTATACACTGCAGTTAAAGGAGAACCAACAGTCTCATACTGGCTGACATTTAAATTTAAATTTAGAGATTCTCTCACTCCATTTGCAACTTTTTTCCTCCAGCTTCCGGAAGAAATTAACCTCTTTGTGTTGTTTGCATACCCAAACACATCCACAGCTATTCCGCAGAGGTTTAGGTGACAATCAAAGAGACTCTGCCATCTGGCTATGCCAATCTGTGCATGTGTGCATGTGTGTGCCTGCAGTGCTTGCTGTGTGTGTGCATACAGTAGGGAGAGAGAGAGAGAGATAGAGAGAGAGAGAGAGAGAGAGGGGCCTTGCAGGATGAGTTCTCACAGAGCAGCAGAGTAATCATCTCTGGAGCCTGAGCCAGATGTTACTGTTGTCATGTGGCTTTGTTGTCAGCCTGTTCCATGAAAACTTGGAAATACTCAGAACACACACACACATGAATGAGATACAGGGGAACGAGACCCAAGTCACTCAAACTGCTCAGGATAATTTGGGAAGATAAAGGGAAAGTTCTCACCAGACCTGGGGTTTCAGATTTCTGGGCTTCATTTTGCTTTTTCTTATTGTGCGTACAGTAAGTGCAACCACCTATAGACCTACATACTGCTCCAAATATGGCAGATTAAAAATGCATCCAAATCTGGACTGCGTGGCGTGCTGTTAACCAGCTTACAGTATATTACTGGGGCTCAATAGTGGCATTGGCTCAGCTCTGGGAGCCTCTTTGGCATGTCAGCAGCAATTTAACCTATGACGGAGATCAAGTGAAAGGATGAATTTTTGTTTTTACGCTGATGTGACCACGCACACAGACACACTGCCATGTCAAAGCTCAGGGATGTAAACAGAGCCAGAGAATTCGTAATATCTGGAAATACTGAAAAAAACACTGTAGCATCTCCAGTTTGCCAGCATGTCTACTTTGTGTGTGTGTGTGTGTGTGTGTGTGTGTGTGTGTGTCACACCAGGTGATGTGAATGTGACACCAGATTGTCACGTCTTCCCCTCGGGCCAGATGGGGCTCACTGCATGTCGAGCCACTTGACATCCCTGTCAGCTCTGTCAATTGACCTCTGACTCCAGGTCACTTTACGCTGGGAGTTAATGATGTGTTCACACCACTTCATAACAAACAGCACACACCCAGAACACACACACTGACAAAGAAAATGTCTTTGTTTTAAAAAAAAAATACAAAATAGTTGCAAAATGAATTTAAAATTGTGGTTTATTACAACTCGGGTGTTATTTTTGTAGTTTTATCTATCCTTTCTATCAGTTATGACAACAAAGTCTGATGAGGCGAGAAACAAAACAGTAGTTTAGTCAGATTACTGAACCGCTTTATACGGAGGTAAAATACCCCAAATGTTGATAATAATCGCTCGTTGTGCAGAGAAGTGTGTGCACACACCTACTGAATAAAAAGGTCAAAGTTGAAGCAAGAAGTTAGTCTGTAAACTAGCACTAATGCTAGTGAGCTAATCTGCTAGCATGTTTACTGCTGACTGACCACTATTAGCTGTGTAACTACAATCTAGTAGACCACACTCAGGGTGGGTTTGACATTGTTGCTTTAGGAGTTTTTACTGAAAAATGTTACACTCAATACATTTCAGAGGGATTTTTTTTAAAAAGGACATTTGTTTTGTTTTGCTTCTTTCTGATATTCCTCCAGACAGACATTCTGAACAGAGTTGGTGGAAGTCTTTTGATGGACGACCCACACAATAATGTGTTGGAGGGACAATTGCACGAAGTAATAAAGAAATTGGAAAGTAACTTACATTAAAGGGATCCTTAAAGTTCCAGTGTGTAACAT